AGTTCGGGGGGTTATGTGTAACACCCCTAAAGTTCAATGGGGTTTTGTGAAATTAACCCTATTTTAAACATATTTCACTATAATTCTGACACCAAACTTTTCACCTAATGATTGCAATGGAGCAGGAACTGATGCGGCAAATATGTGAAGAGAACCAGCAGAGGATTCAGCCCGTCGTCACCTTGCCGCATCCAACACCACACCCAAATTAACTTTTTATGTTTTCCACACGCGAAAGGAGGGAGGAAACAACTCAAACAGTACAACATAGTCACCACGCACCATGACATTTGCTCTCAGTGCCTCTCAATTCTCCTCCCACTAACCCCCTCCCTCTCTCCCTCTGGGACCTACCAACCACAAATATTGCAACGTCACCCTCCCGCCTATCCCTTTTTTTGGATTTTGGTTAATCACTTCTACAATCATTATAGTCTAGAACAGTATGAATGTCGAAGGATCCTACCACACCCAAACATCAAAGTTGTAGTGACGATTGATTGAGAGTTATACTTTTATATTCTAACATGCCCCTGAAGGTTGAGTGCATTTCTTATGAGCTAAAACCTGAACTCATATAATGCTATCATTTTTTTTAATCCGCATTAATTATGTTCGTGATCAGTGGGATTCCAACCTGAATTGCTTTGATACTATGTCAAAGGATCATGTCACTACACTAAAACTTTAAAGTTGAAGTCAAGATTGAGGGAATATAGTGAATGCCTGTGATTCATTTTTGATATAACTAGCGCAATTATTCTATGTGAATTGCATTGATTTTGACTTTTAGTTCGGTATACATGCATGAAGTATTAGATATATTGAGGAAGTGTTCTTAACACTATCTAATTACATTGGAACAAACTCCATCAATGTTAGAGTACAAAATTATAAACCTCAAAGGCTCAAACCCTTATCATAAATCAGAGTTTCTTTTTGACAGGGTTCTTCAGCATGGTGAGCACTACATGTTTAATTTTTGTCAACCACAAATTTAAGGCGGAGCTAAAAAATGATATCATTGTGTGAGTGGTCCCGGCCTAAAAAAGAAGTGTCAATCCATAAAAGCATGTTAGAGTATAAAATTGTAGTCTCAACTCTCACCATAGCTTTGGAGTTCATACAAGCTAGTAAGATGGAACTTTGACGCTCAAATCTCTCTTTTTATCCAAATAATGGCGCTTTTAATATATTCATTCAGATGCAAAGTGGATCAGCGTCCTCAAAAGCATAATCTCACACTTAATCTATAATCATTCAATTTAATTATGACCTCATTATCAAGCTTTTGGATAAGGGGGTAATGCACCCTTAGTCCCCTATAAATAGCCTTGTGCTTCGCCTCTCTCCTTAGGAGAACACACAGTAGTGAAGTTTTCTCCTCTACTATACTTACTGCCTCTAGTGCAAATCTTCTCATAATGGAGGGTACTAAGGGATATTGTGCTGAGCTCCTAAGAAGGTGCAAGCCTTATATTGCCATGATCTCTCTTCAGTTTGGATATGCTGGAATGAATATCATCACCAAAGTCTCCCTCAATGGTGGCATGAGTCACTATGTACTTGTTGTTTATCGCCACGCCTTCGCCACTCTCTCCATTGCTCCCTTTGCCCTCATATTAGAACGGTAGCTATAATGAATCATCACCCTTATTACCAACAAATCTTGTAAAATTCCATTGCATTATGATTAATTAATGAAGTACATATATTGGCGGTGACGCTGCAGGAAAGTGAGGCCTAAGATCACATTTTCCATCTTCATGCAAATATTTGTTCTTGGTCTACTTGGGTGAGTACGCAACATCTCTTTCACGTGTCATATATATCACATATAGTATCACATCATATATCAGTTATTGTAATGTCACAGGCCGGTTATAGACCAAAACTTCTACTATATGGGACTCAAGTTCACATCCCCAACCTTCGCCTGCGCCATGAGCAACATCCTCCCTGCCATGACGTTCGTCATAGCAGTAATTTGTCGGTAGGTCTATATATGCAGCATATTTTTAATTTGGGTAGATTGCACATATATAGCTCCCTTCGTATATATGTTCAATTGCACTTAACCCCCCTAAATCATTTATTAGCACTTAGCCCTGCTCATTTATCTTTATGAAAATAAAAATCCAAGGTTACAATAAGTGCTAATTAAATGAGTTGAGACGGTTACGCAACTGAATTTATGGATGGGGGGTTTATGTGTCATTTAACCTAGTTTTTTCATATTTATATATCAATAATGAAAACTAATTTTATTTTTGGTGTTTAGAATGGAGAAGTTGGACATAAAGAAGGTGACATGCCAAGCCAAGGTGATAGGGAGCATAGTGACAGTAATAGGAGCCATGTTGATGACTCTATACAAAGGACCCATCATCGAATTGTTTTGGACTCGACAAGTAAGTCCTCACCAAAGTGGTGCATCTGAATCTGGCGCTGTTGGGTCAAGCGAGTGGCTTATTGGGTCTGTTTTCATCATCTTAGCTACACTGGCTTGGGCTTCTCTCTTCGTGCTACAAGTAAGAAGTACTTCAAGTAAATGCTGATACTCTATTACGCCCGTACGTATTTTAGGACATTTTTAGTAAACAACAAATGCAGATTTCAGTAAACACTCTGAACTTTGCAGGGTACCGTCCTGAACAATACAAAATTACAAATCATGGAAACCCTCATGAAATATTGGAAATTTTCATAAATAGAGTTAAGGGATGGAGTAAAAAATGTTGGATGAAATGTATGCACCAGTACTATGTTTAACATGGTTTTTGCTTTGGATTTGCAGGCCGTTACACTGAAGCAGTACTCAGCTCAGCTCTCTCTCACAACATTAATATGCTTCGTGGGCACTATTCAAGCTATTGGTGTTACTTTGGTTATGGAGCGTAAATCCTCTGCATGGGTCATCGGCTGGGACATGAACCTTCTTGCTGCTGCCTATGCGGTGATTATCTATCTTTCAATACTAAAATTTAACTTTTTTTTTCCTCTCAGAAAATAAAATTCCTATGATTTTTTTTGTAGGGGGTTGTGACATCAAGCCTTGCATACTATGTCCAAGGTTTAGTGATAAAAGACAGAGGGCCAGTCTTTGCCTCAGCTTTCAGCCCTCTGATGATGATCATAGTGGCCATCATGGGCTCTTTTGTCCTTGCTGAAAATATATATCTTGGAGGGTGAGATTACTAATTTCATTTTTAGCTACTCCGTCGCTGATGTGACGTATATTTAAATTGATATTTGATGATATGTACTATACAGCGATATGCCAACCCTCGTATAGTCGTCTTTGTTTTATGTTTAGATTACTTTAATTTATTTATGCATGTCTCACTTTTCCCCCCCATATTTTTGCAGTGTTCTTGGAGCAGTCTTGATTGTTGCAGGGCTCTACTCAGTGTTATGGGGGAAATACAAGGAGAATAAAGAGACCAAGCGGAGAGAATCAATGGCGGCGATCATGGAATTGACTGAAACTGATGTAGAGAACGCAGAAGTCAAAGGCGGAGGTGTAGCTATTAATGACCGAGTTGCAGAAGCTACAAAGGCTTAAGCTGGATGGAACCTAGCCTATTAATATTATTTGAAGAGAAAATAAAAGGAGAGGCATAATTGAGTTGGTGATAAAGAAAGTGAATGCTGGAGCAGCTCTTTTTTACTCTTCTTCTTCTTCTTTTATCCTTCAAATTTTAGCTCCGTCATCTTCACTTTAAAGTGAGCTTTTTAAGCAGCTCATTGAGATAAATATTTGAAATGAGAATGTGAAAGTTTAATAATTTGTTTTAAATTTCTCTCTTATTTTCAATTAGCCAATATTTAACCTTTGTGCAACATCACCATATCCAGAAGAGATCACTGGAGAGAGAAAATAAATGCATGTTGGTGCATGATATTAGTTTATTTACACTAGTTGGGATGCCCAATTACTATCACAGATAAATATACTTTGAAAATGAAGTAAAAGAGGTTACTTTACTATTACACCAAAACTCCGAAGTTATGGTGAAGATTAAGGATTATAGTTTTATATTAATTCTAACATATTGGATAAAGCTCCAGGACTTGATGGTTTTCTTATATATATTTGTTGTGCGCGGCGGAAGCCTCGAAGCGACACGAACAAGAACAAGAGATAAATCACAACTAATAAGCCCAACACAATATCACAGCAAGACAACGAGTTTAACGTGGTTCGGCAAGTTTCCTACGGTCGCACAGGGAAATAGGGGAGGGCGGGGGGGGGGTTCTTACTATTAAAAATCAAGAGAATATAAATAGAGTTACAAATCTCACCGATCAAACCCTTAAAACAAAGCTCTAGATCTCTCACCAAATCTCCCACAATTGATGCAGCAATCCTCTTCTTAAAGACTGCCTAAAAAACATCATTGCTTAACCCTAATTAATCAGGTTTAGGGTTATATACCAACTCAAAACAAAACGGTGTTTAAAAAACAAAGCCCAGCCCAAAACTAATCTGCGGTCGGACCGCGCGGCGGTCGAACGCGCAGGTATCGGGGTCGACTGCCCACGGTCGACGAACCAAAACCTGAGAGCAAAATCACCTACAGGGTTAGCCGGTCAACCGCGGCAGTCGATTGCCTTCAGCTCCGAATCCTACTGCTTTCTTGTGCACGTTCGCGGTCGACCGCCGCTGACTCGCGGTTGACCGCCAGTCTGCCTAGCCGTTCTCCTGAGCTTCTTTCGAGCTTCTTTCGCCATTTCTTCAATTCTCCATCTCGGCAAACGTTTCTACCAAAACTAAGCCGACACCAAATCATCCAAATATCCCACTTGTTGCGTCCAGGACGTTGTGGAAACACCCTACGATAACGGACTCAATCCACAACAAGTTGGGAACCCAAACTAGAGCTGAAACGATCTCCCCCCATCTTAATCAAAACCGACTGCATCGAAAGGACTGCATACGTATCCTCTTGCCCAAGGAATCAAGCCGAACGTAGTTCACCCAAATGGCCTCCAAAGGCCTCAACACTGAAGAATGTTCAAAAGCTTCAAACAATGACCAAATTTCACACCTGAAACAACTTTGGTCATCATATTTGCAAGGTTGTCGTTCGTGGGACCTTCTCCAATATGACGTCTCCATCATCCAAAATGTCAAGAACAAAGTGGAATCTGACATCAATGTGCTTCGTGCGCGCATGATAAACCTGGTTCATCGCCATGGATAGCCGACATGCTATCACAAAATACCCGAATGTCTCCTGTGCAATCCCTAAGTCATCCAATAATCCCTGCAACCACAAAGCCTCCTTAACAGCCTCAGTCACCACCATATACTCCACCTCTGTAGTAGAGAGAGCCACTATGGACTAAAGTGTACATCGCTAACATACCAGTGTACCTGCCAATGTAAACACATAACCTGAAATAGACCGGCGCTTGTCAAGATCTCCAGCATAATCTGAATCCATGTAACCAATACAATCCTGCCCATTCTTCTTATCCTTCTGGAATACCAAACTAACATCCACGGTGCCTCTAACATACCGTAGAATCCACTTCACGACCTCCCAATGACCCTGCCCCGGGTCGTGCATGTATCTCGATACCATGCTCACGGTCTGTGATAAATCTGGCCTCGTACACACCATCGCATGCATCAAGCTACCTACTACATTGGCATATGTGACCTTTGACATATAATCTCTGTCCTCAACTGAAACAGGCGACATCAATGCTGAAAGCTTGAAGTAGGGAGCCAATGGTGTGCTAACTACTTTTGTATTTCCATCAAAGCTGAATTTCTTCAACATCTTCTGCAAATAGCTCTTCTGTGTAAGCTTTAATCTCCCCTTCATCCTGTCTCTCTCGATCTACATACCCAATATCTTCTTTGCTTCTCCAAGATCCTTTATCTCGAACTCGGATGATAGCTCCTCTTTTAACTTTCGAATAGCCAAAGAATTCCTGAAAGCAATAAGCATATCGTCAACATATAAAAGTAAATATATGTGCTCACCATCCTGTAGCTTGTGCATGTAAACACATGGGTCATATGGGTTCCTCGTGTACCCGTAGCCAATCATGAAGCTGTCGAATCTTTTATACCACTGTCTCGGCGATTGCTTCAAACCATAAAGAGACTTCTTCAGCTTGTTAACCAATTCTTCTTTTCCTGCAACTTTAAATCCCAAGGGTTGTGTCATGTAGATCTCCTCATCTAAATTTCCGTGTAGAAATGCTGTCTTCACATCCATCTGGACAAATCCAAATCCAGCTGTGCCACTAATGCCAATAAAATACGAATCGACGAATACTTCACAACGGGTGAAAATACCTTATTGTAATCAATGCCCTCAAGCTGTGCATATCCCTTGGCAACCAATCTGGTTTTGAACCGAATATCCCCAATAGAAGATCTCTCCTTCTTCGCATATACCCACTTGCACCCAATAGCTTTCTTACCCTTAGGTAGATGTGCAAGTGTCCAAGTATCGTTCTTCTGAAGAGACTGCATCTTACCCTTAGGTAGATGTGCAAGTGTCCAAGTATCGTTCTTCTGAAGAGACTGCATCTCCTCCTCCATAGCTTCCCTCCGATGTGCAAGTGTCCAAGTATCGTTCTTCTGAAGAGACTGCATCTCCTCCTCCATAGCTTCCCTCCACCTAATCGAATCGGGGCTAGACTCTGCCTCTCTGAATGTGGATGAAACCATATCATCAACGACCTTCACTGATAATGCATATGCGATCATGACATCATTATACCTAGCTGGCCGATGAATCACCCTCCTCGGTCTATCTGCTACAATGGACCCCTAAACATGACCCTGCTCCTCAGTCTCACCATCCACTGTATCCTCGATCTGCCCGGCTGTTATCTCATCTCCTCCCAGTGTTACCTCTGTAGGAGCCTCAATGGATACAATGCTATCTGCAGTAGTTGGAGTCACATCATCCTCCACCTACTGCGACATCTCAACTGTCTGGTCTCCCTTCACCTACTGAGGGACTCGAGGCCTCATCATATACGCCTCATCGAATATGACATTTTTACTAATAATTATCTTCTTGTCCTGTGGATCCCATAACTTTAAGCCTTTAACTCCATCTCTAAATCCCATAAAGACAGATTTCCTCGTCCTCAGATTTAATTTACCATCGCTGACATGGTAATAAGCTGGACACCCAAATATCCGAAGCGACTTATAGTCACTAGCCACTAAACTAAACCAACGCTCCAAATGAGTCTTCCCGTCTATCGCAGTGCACGGCAACCTACTCACGAGATAGATTGCATAAACTAACGCCTCGGCCCAAAAGGATCTAGGCAATTTACTAGACGTTATCATACATCACACATTCTCCAGCAAGGTACGGTTTAATCTCTCAGTCATTCCGTTCTGTTGTGGTGTCTCTCGAATTGTAAAATGTCTTCTAATACCGTGATCCCGACAAAATTACAGAAATGGATCACTGTTATACTCTCCACCATTATCTGAACGTAGAGTCTTCACATTTCTACCTGTCTACAGCTTCACTTTCTTCTTCCACTCCATAAAATATCCAGGACCTGATGTTTATGCTTCATAGGATATACACAATTCCTTCTGGAATAATCATCAATGAAAGTAACAAAATAATTGGCCCCACCAAGAGATATGTTCTTTGAAGGACCCCAAACATCTGTGTGAATATAATCCAATGTACCTCGGGTGTTGTGAACAGCGGTGCCAAACTTCACTCTAGTATTCTTCCCAAGTACACAATACTCACACAGCTCCATCTTGTAGGTCTTAGCACCTTTCAATAGCCCATGTTTTGCCAATGACTGTAGGGACTTATCACATGTGTGTCCAAGTCTCATGTGCCATAAAGTGGTAGAGTCCTCCTCTGTAGTGATAGAAGCTACCAGACCCCCTATAACTGTCTTGTCCTTCAAGTAATATAGGTTGTTTTTCTTGACACCTCGCATCACCACCATAGAACCATTTATGACCTTTACTGTAGCATCCTCTAAGATCACTTGATATCCAGCTGCCTCCAAAGTCCCAAGAGAAATGATGTTCTTCGTCAACTGCGGCACAAACCTCACTTTCTTCAACTCCCTAATCACTCTGTCATACATCCTAATCCGGACTGAACCAATACCACCAATAGGGCATACATGGTCATTACCCATAAGCACGACATCCCCTATTTCCAATTCCTTAAAGCTGGAAAACCAATCCCTCCTAGGGCTAATGTGATATATAGCTCTCGAATCCATCATCCACTCTGTGGAATCGACATAGCAAACTAACGATAGTGCAGGACACGAATAGCCCGAAGAATCTGAATCTGAATGCTCATCAATAGCTTTTTGCAACATTCACTTCTGAAGCTTGTACAGCTTTTCCCTTGTTCTTCCCGGCTTTTTCCTTCCACTTTGGACAGTCAATCTTACAATATACTTCTTCTTTACAATACCGATATTGATTTCTACCAACACTCTTATAGGCACTCATATTCTTCGACTTTGAGCGGTTGAACTGGCGGCGGTTTGGATCTCGGCCTCGAACAACTAATGCATCTCCCGATGCCTTCTCGGAGGGTTCACCATCACTCTTCCTCAACTCATAATTCACCAAAGCTGAGGTCACCTCCTTGTAGCTAACAGTAGTTCTTCCATTTATCATAGTTAGAATGAACGTACCATAATTATTTTCTGGTTATGAACACAAAAGTAACATCACCTTGTCTTCATCCCCAACCATGATATCCACATTGGCCATATCTGAAAGTATCTTCGTGAAATTATTGACATGCTTCCTGATGGAA